AGAAAAATAGAAATGATCTATAAATATTAATCGTTTTCTAAGAAAATTCTTCGTAAGATCGAATATTTCAGCAAGCTTTCTGAAAGGGTAGCCAAACTTCCAACCTTGCTAACATGGAATGTGCGAACGCATCACTTTGTTATCTATTCTTTCTCATTACTTCAGATACATGTCATCCACTGGTCGTTGCTTCGATATCGGAAATGCAACGCACCAGTCGTTACACACATTCACCAAAAAACAAAGCGCTTTTGGGCAAAAATATAAAATCCTCTACGCTGACATGGACACAATAAATGAAGAACATCAGAACAAGTTTGAGACTGAAATGAGCACTCTATGTAGTTACGAAGGAGTGGCAGGGAACGGTGCACTAATGCGTTTGGCACCCGTACCGTTATTTTTCTATCGTTCACCCGCAGATGCTGTTCGTCATGCCGGCAATTCAGCTCTTCTAACACACGGTGATAAAAGAGCCAGCGATGCGTGTCGTTATTACTCAGCGCTGATAGCCGGCGCATTACTTGGTTACTCGAAAGATGAGCTGTTAGATAAGCAGTTTTATATTGATCGATGTAAGGAAGGATGGTTCGGTGGAAGCGAAGAACGTGTCTTAGATCCAGAAATTCAAAATATAGTTGATGGTTCGTTTAAAGACAAGAAAGGAGGCTATGTTGATGGTATTCGTGGTAAAGGCTACATTGTTTCGGCGTTAGAAGCGGCATTATGGGCATTCTGTTATGATAATAACTGCTTTCGAACAGGTGTCTTACAGGCTGTCAATCTTGGTGATGACACAGACACGACAGCTGCTATATATGGTCAGCTAGCTGGAGCCTGTTATGGCATAAATGCCCTTCCACCGGAATGGTTGGAAAAAGTGTATGCCAGAGAATTCATTGAAGGTTTGAGTCAATGGTTAGCATATGAAGGGAAAGAGTGGTATACGAGACAAAAAACAAATAATGGTCTCCAAAATGCTAGTCTAGACTCATACTCTCAATTGGAACCGACAGAAATGAATGAAGTTTAATTATAAAGCTGCTACTTCGTATCTTGTCAAATACGAACAATCTTATTACCTTTTTATAGTTGTTGATTCAAAAGCAGACTGCCATCTGTCATATTTTCTTCTAGCAGTGTGTCGAAAAAAGCGCATGATAAGATAGATTCACTTCTCCATTCAGAGATGAGTAGCACTCAAGAACCTTAAGAAACTCTTAAACGGAGTTTTTATGTTTGTTTCTTCATACGCAGAAGAAAGGAATGGATAACCCTCCTTGCGGGTACCATTAACGGTGTAGGGTGCTACCGAACGGCAGTTTCAATAGTCTGATATCTTCCCTTCAGTTGACGAGCGTCTGACGCGGCTACTCATCTCGTTATTAACCATCAACTACAGCTCTGGACGGAGGCCAGCCTAGCGCAGAGTTCGGTCGCCCAATTAGTTGATACACTACTAGCTTTTCGGAGAGCTACGCGAATTAGCGATAGAGTTGCATTGTACGTCATACCGTAGTGAGTATGCTGTCGGGTCCGATGATCCGAGACACTAAGACATAAGTAACTTGTCCAAGGTTATTACATGACCTGGTAGCGCCGAGGTTCGAACACAGCACATTTGAAGTACGTGACAAACAGCATAACCCCTAAGTTATGTTGTCGTTCGGATCTTCTTTAAAAAGACAAGAATAGAAATAAAGCAACATCGATAGAGCTTTTACTTTTGTCTAATTTGGTGTTAAGATATATGCATAACATGATAATAGAGCTCATTCACATTACAAAAACAGTAGTAAGTAGCATCTTAGTGTGCTTTAGCCTCTTAAGCCCGTCGGCACAGATGTTTATAAGACGTGAAGAAAAATATATTCGATAATCTGCACAAGTACTCGAAAGAATTATATATAATCGATTATTCTCTTTTATCATACAATAAATAATTCGGATTCTTTCTTCTTATATGAGCATAAGAATAGAGAACAATTTTTCGCTAGCGAACAAAGTAAGAAAACGACAAAATATTGAAGATACTAGCTGTAATTTAATTCTGCATTACACGTTAACTTTAAGGGAGGGATACTCCCCTCCCAAAACATACCCTCAAATTTTGTCAGTTCCTAGAGAACACCTCCAGGGATCTAGGGTTGCAATAACTCGCGGGTTGGGTAAGCTTTAGTAGAGTTATGAAACTTTCAAAATTACCAAAAGTCGATTTTCCCAGCTATTTTGCACCTAGTGCAAAAAGTATCACTTGCGCAAATCACGCCTTCTCAATGAAGCATTCCAAAAGCATTCTGTTCATAGAAAGTTGTTTATCAAACTCACCTCTATGGGATAAGATATTGTGATTTTAGATTGATGTCATTATTCTGAATTTATAGGCCCAACAAGAAGCATGAACCTGAAACTCACCATACTCAGACAACTATCTACAGGGTGTTTTTTTCCCTATTTATAACGTTATAACGCTATAAAACATGCTTTTTCTTAAACTATGGTATTACAACACTATAGATTTATCTCATTACAACGCGACAGACATAGCCCGTCGTTCTATAACGCGCTGCAAAGTTATTTTTCAGGCATTTATGGCGTTGTACAATAAGATGACAATTTTCATTGCATTACAACTCTATAAATTTGTACCATTATAATGCGTTTCAATTTTTTATCTCGTTACAACTCAATTAGATTTGTCTACCGCCTTATAATCCGTTAGATTCTAATGTATTATAACGCGTTTGAGTTTTCTACTTCAATATAATACCCTTGGTATACGAAAAAGGGGTCTCTCGACAATTTTCAAGATTGTTGTTTTTGGTTCAAAAGTTTTAACACTAATGATAATTCCTTTGGCAGCCAGCCATCAACTGCAAGTCTGATCTTATATTGACTTTGCTGGTATGAACTAAAAATCTCAATTTTTTGTAGTTTCACCGCTAGAATGGTCCCGAATAGCTCACTCTCACCACTCGCCATCCCCGCCACCACCTCTGTTGTTCAGGTTTTTACACTCTACTAGGAAGATTCTTTTGGATGGGAGAACATCGATCGACTAAAAACCGGCTCAGTGTGGCGCCAGTCCATCATAGAGGAAGTTGTCTCTATTTTATTTTTTTTTGGAAAGTTAAGTACTTTTTTCTTACAAAGTTATAAAAAAATTTTCTCGTATTCAAAACTTCTAGAAAACGTATACCTTAATATTTTGACTTTAACACGCATTTTCATGTGTACAAAACCAGAGTATTAATCGATAGTTGAAAAGATCTTTTTTATCTCAGGAATATTCTATTTTTTTCCATCACTAAGACATTAAAGTCAGTAGAATGATCATGCTACTGTGAAAAAAAGATGTACAGCAAAGCAGAGATATCACACTATTCTAAATTTCTTCAGCTTTGAATGATATCTTCTCGTTTCGTCCTGTTTATTTTCTAGCATTCTATTCATTTTTTTCTATCAACAGTGTACTAATTAATATTAATATAAGTCATTAAGGACTCATTCCCAGTTTGCAAGCTAATTGACTTTTTATATATTTTTCAATTTCCCATTTTGCAAGCCAAAAATAAACGAAAAAACTTCCCATTTTGCAAGCCAATTAATAAAGAAGGAAATCTAGATTATTTCGTTCAATAAGTAATCAACAGTAAAATTTAGAAAACTAATTAATTAAGAAAAAAGTATAGATTGAATGTATAGACTGAAATATAGATCTTAGAAGACGTAACAATTTTATTGTCAATAAAAGAAAGAACAAGATGATACAGCTGTCTATTACAAACGAAACTCAAAGTGTTCCGGGGTGTTC